TCTTGCAGAAAGAGTAAGACTTCATAGTAGAAGCTTTAATTCTTGGGATATATACTTGTTCTTAAAGATGACTGAGGTGGTTCCGGTTGCAGGTAAGGCGAGAGAAAATCAGTGAACGAATGAAGTATCTTCAGGATCTTGTACCTGGTTGCAACAAGGTTTGTTTATTGTCACATTTGTTACTAATATTTAATATTGCATTTGCTATGTAAGTTACCTGGGATTTGATTTTTCAGGTCACTGGTAAAGCTGTAATGTTGGATGAAATCATTAATTATGTACAATCTCTGCAAAGACAGGTTGAGGTATGGAATCCATTAAGTGATTATCTTCTGCACATTCTTTCAAAATATATTTGTTCTTCCCTTCAAAATTCAAGGAATATTTTGGTTGCTTCATATTCTGCTGTTCGATGTGAACGACTCCCTCCCCTTCTTTGGCCTTTCCTGGTTGTTTTATTAAGTGCTTTAGTACCATATAACATTGACGCGTATTTTCCTTTGAGCATTGAATATTTGAACAATTTTTACTATTTGCTAATCTCATGCTAAGTAATTTTGCAACGAAAAAGTTCAAGAAAGAAATTCATGGCTCCTATGTATTTATGAATGGCTCTTATTGTTCTCACAGTTCCTCTCAATGAAGCTTGCAACAGTAAACCCACAGTTAGATTTTAATCTTGACGGGCTCCTTGCAAAAGATGTAAGAACTAGTAAACTCTTCTGAACATTACATAAAGCAGAGCACAGTGCATAAATTCCAGCTGCTAATGCTGGGATGTACACTTGCATTTTATTGCAGATCCTCCAGTTGCAAGCAGGTCCTTCATCCTCGCTTGTTTTTCCACCTGATAATATGACCATGCCTTATACCTCTTTGCATGCATTGCAATCCGGTCTGCTGCAATCAGGTTTTCCTGGTGTGGGAAATTGTACTGATACATTTCGTAGATCCATCAATCCTCATTTTGCTTCTATGAGTGGAGGCTACAAGGATCCTTCATCTCAGGTACTATTTGGGTAGCGCTACGCGTTTCAGGTTTTAGGTTGTACTGATCATATTTTAGGAGAATACTCGTCATAATGAGTCGTAAACCAAAGTAATATTGCTTTATGTTCTAAGCATTTGCCTTGCGATTCATATTGTCTTAGGTACCTAATATTTGGGATGACCAGCTACATAATGTTGTAGAGATGGGATTCAATTCAAGCGCGCCCCTCGATAGTCAGGATATAAGTAGTAAGTGTTTTCTTATGCTCCTGCATTATTTTCTTTTCCTGAATTAGCATCAGCTCCTCTAATGATCACCAAACTCTCTTTATTATTTGTAGGTTCCCTGCCTCCCGGAGAGATGAAAGCAGAATCTTGAAATATTTCAAACACCAACCGGTTACGCTTTCTGTTTCTTTGGGGACTAAGGTGCATAGGTTATCTTTTCATTTTTGGGGCTCAGAAAGTTAAAACATTTGGGAAGTTATATCACATTGAGAGCTCCTCATATTTCGAATTCTGAGTTCAGTTGTATAGCAAGTCCAGAAAAGTTTCTTTTTATATAAGCACTATATTATTGGCTCCAAGGACCGAAGATATATACACATGATCTAAATTCTTCCATCAAAAAGAGCAAATGTGGGTTCAAGAATTTAGGCGCTCGGCATAGTAAGTGCAAAGGAGATTAGTCAGGCATTCATGTTTAGTTTAAATCTTGAATCTTTGAGATGAAATGGTTGTGTTTCTCAAATGTATTGGAGGAAACCTGAAAATTGTGTGCTTTGGATGAAAGAAAATCAAGTTCCATTCTTTTCATTCCAAGATCATTCTCTACATAAATATTCATGTGGTTCCTGAAAATTGATTAACCTAGGATCCTGGTGGGAATCTAGATTAGTCAGGCCAAGTGAATGTCGGATACCAGATGGTTAATTTCACGATCCGAAATTTCCACCGTCGGGATTGTGATGGCGCCTAACATTACACTTGCTAGGCAAGCCAACGTTAGAGATTTATTAGCTAATTCTCTTACATTTAGGTGATTATCAGTAAACAAACTATAATACGTCGAAATGAACGCGGAAATATAAAAATACAACTTTTAATATATACTACTACTACCCAGAATCCGGAGTCACAATTCACGAACATACTAAGATTTTTCTACAAGTATTTGCCCGAAAGAAAAATACAATTGTTTGCGAAATAAGGAAAACAGTAAAGTATGGGGGTATAGGAGGGGACGCCAGGGCCTGCGGACGCTAACAGGACTACCTTGGGTCTCCTAGCACTGAAGCCTACAGTTAACCTCTCGATCAGCCCGAACCTGCTCCAAAATTTGCACAGGAAGTGCAGAGTGCAGTATCAGTATAACCGACCCCATGTACTGGTAAGTGCCGAGTCTAACCTCGACGAAGGAGTGACGAGGCGGGACACTCACAATGTAATCTGCATAAGGTATATAATAAAAGCAAAAAGGAAGACAGAATAAAGTAAAGCAATAACTTGCAAGAAGTAAATATCGTACTCAAAGTATTTCATCAGTGTTCAGCTATTACCAATCCTTAAGTGCAAATTAAGACTACC